GAATTACAAGTTTGCTACATATTTTTGGTTTAAAAACTACACTTTATAACTAAAGCTAAAACAATAAAATCAAATATTATACCACGATGTATCATTTTTTTTTTGGGCATACCACGATATATCATCTTTAAAATAGATACTTATCTTACTTATGTTTGTAGTTAATTGAACACTAAAACCCCAAAATATTTACACACATAGATATATATGTGTGGTAATTGTTATAGATACCTGAGTCTTGCCTCTAGTTTCACCAGCTTTGTAACTCTGTTCTTGATGAGACGCCATCGGAAAACTCGAAAACAAAATATTCAAAAATATTGATTTGATGAACAAAAGCTTGTCTTACGTTATGTGCTTCTATGTTTTGGAACTGTTGCGAGTTATCTCCGACTCGTTAGTCTATTTATAGCAAGTCCTGGTCGGCTCGAGAACAAGATACGTGTTGCAGTTTTTGGACACGTGTTTAGCCACGTGCCATGATAAGGTTAAGTAACGAAGGTCGAAACTTGGGATGATGTGCGAGTGTTGAAAATTAGGTATCTTGTTGTGATAACGACCTATGAAGATTTGCCACCTCATGGTTAAAGTGAATTGGGGAAGATGCTACACACGTGGTGACTCACGTTCATGGATATTCATATACCTCAATGCATTACTAATATGCAACCGACATTACGCATTTGATATTTACATTTTTCTTTTATACGAAAGCAATAAGACTTAAACTCGCCATTTTTTTGTTGGTCGTAAACTCGCCATTTAACATCTGAATCATTGAGATTCAGAATTAACCAGCTGTAAAAATAGATCATAAAATTATTAGTTTTTTTTTTTTTTGTTAAAGATCATAAAATTATTAGTTACAAGAGTTTTACATGTAGAGGTGAAACGGACCAGAGTCGCTAGTTCTATTGCCCACACTATATCATATTTGAACCTATCCGGATATGTAAGTTTCATTTATTTATTTTTGTCGTCATGTAAGTTTCATATTTGTGGATTTTACATACGGGATATGAATTTAGTTCTTATCTCCCATATATTCTAATTTTTGGAACGGATTGAAATTGATATGAAATATTTTTACTGATATGAAATCAGATTTTGGATTTCGGATCCAGCATAAATATTTTTACTGATATGAAATCAGATTTTGGATTTCGGATCCAGTATAAATATTTTTACCCTCTATTTTACATCCACTCAAAGTTAGTTTTGAAAGACAAGATAACTATTTATTAGATACCAAAGATCAAGCCGTATAAACCCTTAAAAGTCTTGTTGTTCGAACAATTAGACAATTTGGTGTTGTTGGCATATCTTTATATTTTAATCAAATGAGGCATACATATATTATATTCTTCGTCATTTATAGAAATACAACACAAACGTAAACGAGAACAAAAAAAAATTCCAACTCGAACCTAAAAATAATATGGAATATAGTTTTACACAAACATTTTGGTTATTAAAAAAAAAAAAAACCAAGTGACTACAAGATATTTATAGATATAATGATATTTTGGTTATAAATTATAATCAACACATAAAATGCCTCTTTGACAAAACAAAAATGTCACCGGAAAAAAAGGTTTCTGATCTTCGCAATGCCAGTCATATATTCCACCATTTCTTGACCAAGCAACTTTAAGGTAATACGTCCTATAACTAATCACCTCCACAGAATTTAGCATATCAATCGACAATCGTCAATAGTATATTTTACGTGTCAATGTAATGCTTAAAAGTAGGATTTTACTATAATTTACATCTTTCGAGTAGTATAAATACCACTTAAAAATGCTTTTTAATCCCTCCAAAATTAACACAATCTTTATCATCAAAGACATTCACAGATCCAAAAAAAAAAAAAGATGTCGTCGAGCCAACAATTAAGTCACAATGCCGGAGAAGCCACCGGTCAAGTTCAGGTGCATACAAACACAAAAGAACCACATTAATTAGAAATACTGTATAGTTTTCTTATAAGTCTTAACCTCTAATTAATCAATAATAAACATGAGTTTGTTAATAAATTATACCTCATCTTTTCTTTTCTTATTACAGCTGAAGAAAGAAGAGTACTTGAACAAAGTATCACACGCGATGAACCAGAATGTTGATCAACTTTCT